CGCCTCCTGGCGCGCTCCTATGGTCAGCGCTGATTTGGTCAGCTGGTCCATAGACTCCGCCCTGGGCGCCCGGGAAAGTTCGTCTTTCACAGCCGAAGAAAGCCCTTCTTCAAAGAGCATTTGAATGGGTTCCGCCGATAAGTCCCACCCCAATCTGTGAACCAGCATGGTGAACTCAGTCCAGTACTCACGGACAGATCGGCTCCCTGTTTGCAAGCCATTAACTGTCTGCGCACCACTCCCTGTTCAATATCGCTGGAAAACATCAGATCCATGGCGCGAAAGAACTTCATCGTGTCCTTTAGGACGTCACTATTCGCTGCCATCAGGGGTCTAACCCAGTCTTTCGCCCCCTTTTCAAGATGCCCAATCACGAAAGCCACTCGTGATTCCTCGTCAGGGAATTCATCAAACTGCAGATTGAGGGCATATTGCATCTCTGTCCGAAAGCCATGATAGTCTTTGGGCTCCCCCCCAAACTTCTGCACCAATCCTGGTACCTTTCTGGCGAGCTGGGTGGCTTTCCCCTTTTGTCTGCATCCTGAGCCCTCCTCTCCTCAAGCCTCGCCGTCTGCAGCGCTAGCTGGACCTCCAACACCCGGTACCTTTCTTCCAGGCTTGGACCCGCTCCAGCTCCTGCTTCTCCGGTTCCGGCTGGGTTGCTCATGATGCCTTCTCCTGCACAAGCTGCTTTCAAAGACTGTCGGAATGCTGTGATGGGATGATGAGCTGCTTGTGCGTAAAATAGTATCCCCTCAGAGTTTGTTCAAGTCCACAAACCTCTGTCTGTGACGGAGCCCTTCAGACATGGCTCCTCTAGTCACTAGCAGATTCCGACAGTGGTTGCTTTCGGAATCGCTTCCAACATAAAGCTCCTTAACGGAAACACGTCTTCTGGACTCTCTGCGTGACAGTTTCCGGCGAGGAGTGGGTGTTCCTACAGGAGGTCCTGAAACCTCCCCACTGTTTTCGCTGGAAGTGTCTCTGAGCCATCCCTCCAGCTCACTTTCCCTCAGCTCAGCTCCTCTCCCCCTACTGGTTCCCTCTTCAGCTGCTGAGTCTCTCCCAACCTGTGTGAGCCCTTTCACCTCCCTTCCTTCCGATGGCAGTTCCCTGACAGTGGAGAACCTGTAGGCCTTCAGATGTTTTGGACTACAACTCCCATCATCCCTGACCATTGGCCATGTTGTCTGGGGCTGATGGGAGTTGGAGTCCAGCAACATCTGGAGGGCCACATCTTCCTACTTCTATTATAGATGAAAATGAAGTGTCCGTGGCTGATATTGACTTGGTGCAGCAGCAGTTACAGGAAGAACAGGCAGTTGTAAGTCTAAAATACATTTATCCTTCCTGCCCATATTTTATTTTAGTACAAAATATGCCTTAGTGGTATTGCAGTGCTAAGCAGATTTTAGTATAGTTTAGTATAAAATGATAGCTAGCTTAAATTTAAAAGACAACCAATAAAAACCTAAATTTAATGTATAATCTTTAGTACAAAACAATAGCTTAAATTAAAGACAGCTTATAAAATCTAAATTTATTATAGCATCATTATAATGCAATAGAAGTTTAAATTAAAAACAGCTTATAAAATCTACATTTTTTTATACAATGTTTATATTATAAACCAACTGTTTAAATTAAGGACAGTGCATAAAACCTTGAGCTGTATAATTTAACCTCTTAAAATCTTTCAAATTTAACCTTCTATTTCTTTGTAATAAATCCAGACTATTAACCTGTGGCCTTTTCAAGATTGGTTCCATTGTTTTATAGTAAGAAATAAAAGTGCAGCATTACTAAAATTTAGATCTAAGCAGTCAAAGTGCATTCAGTGAATGTGAGTTGATGAGCTGGCACCCTAGCAGCAGGCTTTACATCTGACCTATGCACATTCATGGCAGCGCCTGAACAGAGCCTCCCAAAACATGATATACAGAAGTTCTGAATTAGCGTCTGGAATCAGTGATGGACTGAATACAAAGCAGCAGATTAGAAATTTCATCCAGACAAGGCACAGGGGATGGTGGTCAGTAGGACAGCAGAGCCAGTTCCACATTCCCTCTGAAGAACTAGGTCTGTAGTCTGTGGGTGCTTTTGGATAGACCTTTGCGCTGAGAAGATAAAGTGGCAACAGTAGCCAGGGACGCCTTTGCACAGCTGTGGCTTATATACCAGCTATTATTTTTCCTGGAAAGGCAGGTTTGCCCATTGACATTTATATCTTGGCCACATCAAGACTAGTGTAATGTGCTCTACATGTGTAATTTGTACAATCTGAGGAGAAAAGTTTCGTTTTTTTCACTTCTGCCCTTGTACATAGCAGGGAGATAGTCAAACAAACATACAGAGGGGCAAAACACCCTCAGAAGTCCACAGCCAAACAGGGCATGTGCTACCTCATGCCACTCTGTTAAGCAACACTACCATCCATCCCCCTCTTTGCTCGTTGAATTTATCAGCAACAGAATTAACACTTAAGTTACAAACTGAATGATCCCCGCTGTTGCAGTTCCAACACTAATTGAGCCCTTGGTTCAGGTCCCACCACCATCAGGTGTACAGCTGGTGATGGCACAACAGGGCCTTTTCTGCAGCAGCACCCAGGTTATGGAATTCCCCATTCCTTAAGCGGCCTTTGGTTCACACACATCGGGCTTTCCTACTGGGCTTTTGAGCTGGCATTATCATTATTTCATTTTCATTGCCTTTTTTTTGCTGCTGCTTAAGTGCCACTTTTCCTGTTGTATTTTACTGTTAACCACTTAAGAAGGATGTCTTTGGGGAGAAAGGCAGCATATCTTTAAAGTAAACTAAATAAAGAAACAAACAAAATTCACAAAATGATCTAGAAAAAATGCAAATAAATCCAATGAGGGGTCACTAGGAGCTGATGTTTACACCCATACTTTATCCATGCCATCGCATTGGTTCTCTCTTGTAATGGTAGGCCTTGCTGCTTCATGAAACTCTTATCAATTTCATATGTAATGACATGAAAATTCCTTCCACTGATTGACTTTATTTTTTTAAAGTGACCTAATAATTTTTTTGCCCTTTGGTCCCCCTGGACAATCTGTTCTGTTCTTTAGTTTAAGCCAAGTCAGTCACACTTTTTAAAAGGTTATCTTTGTATGAACATGTTCATATTTTCTTTAGTAAGTGACCAGTCACTTAAACAGGTAGTCCCTGAAAAAGCCAGGTATCATTTCATTATTACACATGACTGGGGCTCCAATCACTCAAGCGGCAAAAGGGCCATATGGAATAAATTAGATTGAATTCTAGTTTATAGCAAAACCTGCTTAATTTGTAGTTTCCAAAACATTTTGCATTTGAAACACAGTCAGCCTTCGAATATTTCACATGTCAAAATTTTGCAGTGCAGGTCTCCAGTCAAGTAATGGGTACATTACTTCCCACTGCAGTGGGAAGGTAAACGGTGTTTCCGTGTGCTCTGGCACTCGTCACGGTCCTCCGTGCAATGGTAGTGGTTTAGTCATGCTGGCCACATGACCCGGAAAGCTGTGGACAAACGCCGGTTCCCTCGGCCTAAAAAGTGAGATGAGCACCACAACCCCATAGGCGCCTTTGACTGGACTTAACCGTCCGGGGTCCTTAACCTTTTATCTTACCTTTACAAAAATGTATGTACTAGGCAACTCTACAAAAAGTAGTATAAACACCAACAATTGGGAAACACTTGCCTGTGAGTGCTCCAATTGGAGAACAGCCTTTACCAAAGGTGTCATGGGCTTTGAAGACACTCGAACTCAGGACGCAATGGAGAAACATGCTAAGAGGAAGGCACGCTTGGCAAATCCACACCGTGATCAACTCCTGCCCAGAAACCAATGTCCCCACTGTGGAAGGACACGTGGATCCAGAATTGGCCTCCACAGTCACTTATGGACTCATTGTTAAAACCATGTTTATGGAAGACAATCTTACTCGGCTACAAGTGATCGCCAAAGAAGAAGAAAATACATAATATTGGTGAAAATAACATATAGAAATGCACTGTATTGGGGGGGGGGGACGACTTTGAAAAAACTGTATATTAGGCAAAAATTTATACCAAGGTGTGTCTGTGTTCACACTAAAATACATTTGCACTAAAATGTTGGTGAATTTTCATGAGGACTTTTTTTTTTAAAGAAAAATCTCAAACTGATGTGAATAAGTTATGTATACTGGATAAATGAGAAACTGCGAGAAACCAAGGGTGACAGTTTCGCCCAGTAGCATGGCTCCATCTTTTGAAATACTGCCTCTTCCCATCCCTAAAGCCTGCCAGATTCTCTCAGGCCAAAATGTAAAGCAGGGCTGTACTCTAGTGAGTAAATGATGTAATTACGGCCGCTTGTTACAAGGCACAGCTTTCACAGGCAAGAATGGGATAGGGAAGGGTAGTGGACTCTTTCCAGGAGGTGTGTCATGATGACAAGCTCCTCGGCCAATCACAGACCAGAAAGATCATCACATTTGTGCCATAAAGAAAAGAAACTGCTGCAGGGGAGGGAGAGAGAGAGATTCGTTTGGCAAAGAGAGCTTCTGAACTTGCAGCTGGGGCTGGAGAGCTGAGCTTTCTCCTACACAAATCAGACAGATCCAGCTCTTCCTGCTAGACACCCTGCTGCCCTCTCCCATTTCCTCCCCTTCAGTTTCTTCACAAACCGTGGGTTCTTGAGCCAAAGTCACTTGACGTGTATTCTATCCTAGGGATTCTTCCAAGTGTCTGCCAATCACACGGAAGCCTAGTGTGGGTTCCCCTTACCCTCGATTTTAAAACCCAGCTTGAATAAGATTTATGGTCAGATCCCTCCTTACCTCTCCCCCCTTTTGAAAGCAGGGCCCCAGTATGAAGCAATCAGCAGTATAGCTTTTAATTTTGCAAGGAACGGACATATTGTATTGACCAGTCTATTTTTGTGACACACACACACACCTCACAATGAGTGTGTGAGGTCTAAACTCAGATCCACCCTGGGTCAGCCCCCTACTCACAACCTGATAATAATTCCAGCATTTCAGGAGCCTCCTTCCCTCAGTGTCCCACTGCTTAAATATTTACGCACACCATCCGCCAGCCGTTCTTGTCAGGGTAAGATCTCGGCTGGTTTGCTATGTTACAGAGTGGGAGGGAAAGCAGGTTGCGTTTTAACCAGGGGGCAAATGGACAGGTTTTAGAAATGCTGAACCATCAAAAAGAAGCAGATCAAACTTTTATTTCACTTGGCAGGTGGTGGTGGGGGAGAGACAACAATGTGGACAACTTTAGCCACACCTGAACCACTTTAGCTTCACCTTTTTGCGCTTTTTGTGCTTTGTTTCTCAGTAGTCAAACCATTAGCAGTCTCTCCATCCTGGCATGTTCTGATTTAAGCAGATCAGGCTTAGTGTGCTAATAGATGAATCAAGGTCTTGGAGGGCGCAAGAACAAAGCTACTTGGCAGTTCAGGTTTAGCAAAATATCAGTGTTTTATTTGGAAATGGGCAGATTTTTTGCTTGCCCGGGCCCAGTTGTGATCTGATGCCTCAGGTTCTAACAAAGCGTATTTTAATTGCAATGAACAGATTGTTCAGTGCTTCTGGCTGATCTAGCATGTCATTTACATTACTAGCCAGTAAATTTGTTTTCAAAAACTCAATTAAAATGAAACTGGAACAGTCCACAGATCATAGTTCAAAGCAGCAGGGGGAAGGGAGATGTCAACCTTACAATGCCGAGTCTCCCACTTAAATTCGGAAAATTGGCAAGTGGTCTTCTCTAAATCACATAAATAGATGCAGTCTCCTTTTCATGTCTATATTAGATAAACAGGGCAGATTCAAGGTTTGTTTGGAAACAATGGTGCTCAAAAGCAACTAACTAGAATTAGCACCAATATGCTTTTGCATCATTTCTCAGTTTTCACACCAGATATATACACTAGCACATGGGTAGGTAAACTAAGGCCCGGGGGCTGGATCCGGCCCAATCACCTTCTAAATCTGGCCCATGGACAGTCCAGGAATCAGTGTGTTTTTACATGAGTAGAATGTGGGCTTTTATTTAAAATGCACCTCTGGGTTATTTGTGGAGCATAGGAATTCGTTCATATTTTTTTCCAAAATATAGTCCGACCCCCCCATATCGTCTGAGGGACGGTGGACCGACACAGGGCTGAAAAAGTTTGCTGACTAGCAAACCTCAGAGGGGGTGAGTGGGATGCTTTGATATAACTAGCAATGTCTGTTTATGATACCCAGAACGGGCTAGGATGGAAAAATGATGTAGCTGAGATAATCCATTAAGAAGTTTTAGAAATTGCTAGACTAAGGTATATGAGGATGACACAAATCCCTAAACTCCATTTAAGGTATGAATGAGTCATGCTATAGTTTTTTATTTCAGACACACACACATGGAAAGGCATGCCTTTCTGAGTAAAAAGCTGCCATTCAGCAGAAAGAAAGTTGATGACAGGTACTACCTGCAGGACTCCAACGTTTCGCTGCACATGAGTGAGAAGATATTTAGATATGATAATCTGATGATCATGCAGGCGGATGCCCACATTGGTACCATGCTGTGTCAGCACTTTATAGTTTCTGCAAGCCTCTTTTACATCTACAGGTGGATATCACAGTGTCCCATTTCCTTCTTCTCAATCCAAACCATCACCATGAAAAACTGATAGCTAAAAGCAGAGATCAGGCATGGTGAAATGGGGACTTCTGCAACTGCCCATTCTTCATATGCTCACCTGGGAGATACTGATCACATTCACACCATGCATTTAAAGCCCTATGATACAACAGCCATGGCTTCCCCCAAAGAATTCTGGGAGCTGTCTTTTGTGAAGGGTGCTTAGAGTTGTTAGGAGAACCCTAATCTCCAAGAGTTCCATTTGAAGAGGGTTTGAATGTTAAACCACTCTGGGAACTATAGCTCTGTGATGGGAATAGCAGTCTCCTAACAACTCTTATTTCTGTTCACAAACTGCAGCTCCCAGAATTCTTTGGGGGAAGCCATCACTGTTTAACGTAGTAGTAGTAGTAATAATAATAATAAATTTTATTTATATCCCGCCCTCTCCAGCCATAACCAGGCTCAGGGCGGCTAACATCAAAATATAAATACATTAAAACATAAAATTCAGCAATCGATTGAAATACAGCTTAAAATTGGATTAAAATCAAGTAAGATCAGAAGGCAATCGTCAAATTATGACTATAGGGGTTAGGTACTCACTAGGCTCAGCTATTTATATGAGCCAGTGAGAGAAGTTAGAGAAGCCTCTTATATATAGGGTCTTTTAGGAGGAGAGAGGTCAGACTGGGCCCCGACCAAAGGCCTGGCGGAACAGCTCCATCTTGCAGGCCCTGTGGAAAGATGTCAAGTCCCACAGGGCCCTGGTCTCTTGTGGCAGGATGTTCCACCAGGCTGGGGCCAGGGCCAAAAAGGCCCTAACTCTGTTTGAGGCCAGTTTAACCTCCTTGAGACCTGGGACCTCCAAGATGTTATTGTTTGCGGACCATAGGGTCCTCCACGGGGCATACCAGGAGAGGCGGTCCTGTAAGTATGAGGGTCCCAGGTCATATAGGGCTTTAAAAGTTAGAACCAGCACTTTAAACCTGACCCTGTACTCCACCAGGAGCCAGTGCAGCTGATGTAGCACTGGATGGATATCACAAAGTAGTATCACAAAGCTTTAAATGGGCATTGTGAATGTAGCCACTTTCTGCTTCTGCCATCAGTCAAGGGACCTGGGGCCACTGGGAAGCTGCACACCCTGTCTCCCCAGGAATAATGTCAAGGCAAAGGAGAGATCAACCTAGCACCATCTATTGGCAAGAGCAGGAGCAGATAAATGGAGCTTGCCATTCCTCATCCCTGCTATAAAGAACATTCTGCTCCAGCTGCCAGTTGACTGCTAAAGCAAAAGGAAAGAACATTCTGGCCCCATCTATCGTCTAGAGGAACAAGAGTCACCAAATGCTATTCAAGCAAGAACATCAGCAAGGGAAGGTCAACCTGTCGTGAACAGGATATCAATGCCCACTACTCAACAGGCTCAATTCTATGCCACCAACGGTTCAGGACCTGCTCTTGGACAGGAATGATCAAATTACTTTAATAGTGGCTGAATTTTTGAGTGCTGTCCATGTAGAAAGACTGGGCCATTATAAAGAGATTTAGTGGTTCTTAATTGTTCGGTGATGTGGTAGTGTTATATTGTATTATTTATGCAAATTGATTTTCTCTGGAGTTAAAGATCTGACTGGGACAAACCTTGTTATGCTGAACTCGTATTTTGCACAATTTGTATACGGTGTTTGTTTGACAATGTGTGGTTGGCTATGCCTAATAAAGGATTGACTTTTTTTAATCAATGCCCACTTAAAAGAATATATTCATGGAAATAGCATAGAGAAATGCATTAAATGGGAGGGGGGCTTCCAAATAAGTATGTATGTATGTTAAAACTGCATACAAAAATGTGCTCATTGTGAGAAATTTGCACTAAAATGCCGGTGAATTTTTAAAAAATAAAATATGAAAATTGCTCCTGAAATATGGAGAACTGAAGTTAAGATTGGGGGGAGGGGGAAATGAGAGAAAGCAAAGCTGACAGATTCTTCCACCCTGTGTCTAACTCTTCACTTTGTTCTGGCCTTGAAAGACTGATCTCCTTCCTCTTCCTCTACCTCTCGTCTTCTTAGTTTGTAAGCCTGATAGCAGCCACCCCAACTCTTTTCCACCCCTTTAATTGATGTGAGCCACTTTGAGAGGCAGCAGTTGTCTGAAAAGGAGGAGAAAAATACAGTAAACAAATCCACAAATGTTCCAAGGAGGCCCTACTCCCTTAGAGAAGGTTAGCGTTAGTTTAGAGAAAAGGCAAGTAAGAAGTGAGGGGATAGAACTTCATAAAATCATGCAAGGCGTGGAGACAGTGGAAAGGGGGAAGTTTTTCACCATTTCATCACATTAGAAGTCAGGAATGTCCAGTGAAGCTAAATGTGGGAAGATTCAGGACAGATAAATTACTTTTTCACATAGCGCATAGTCAGACTATGGCACTCACTCCCACAAGTGACAACTTGGATGGCTTTGAAAGAGCATGATATAAACTCATGGAGGATGGAGCTGTCCATGGCTGCTGCCCATTTTGCCTATGCTCTGCCTCCACAGTTTCTGGAAACTGCAGGAGAAGGGTACGCTCTTGTCCTTGGGTTCGGCTTTCAGGTTTCCCACATGCATCAGGTTGGCCACCATGAGAACAGGAGATGGGACATTAGTCAGATCTAGCAGGCTCTTCATATGTTCCTTTGTCCTGCTGTCAATTAGCCAACAAGCTAGGAATCATTCTGCAGTGATGGGGTTGGCTATCAAAGAGCGATAGCTCCACAGGACATGTTATTTTCATTTCCTTAACATTTCTACCCTACCTTTCTTCCATCCTAGAGCCCAAGGCAGCATACATGTGGTTCCCAGGTGCTCGCCCATCCAAGCACTGACCAGATCCAGACCTGCTTAGCTTCAGCAAAGTGGTGGCCTCATGTGCCTTTGCATCATACCCTGAAAGCCTGGGCTAGGCGGCTCAGACTCCTTGGAAAACGCATTACACCTATTTAGCATTCCACTGTTGAATAAGATGTTATTGTTATTCCTACCAATTTTTGAAACTTTGAACAAGGTTTTACAGAATGGAGGTAATTAGATGGTTGAAGTAAGAAGATACTTGAACCCCACAACCTCTTGCTTTGAGCACTAAAATCCTATATATCACATACCCAGGTTTTGGCAGATCATCCTAAATGCAGAGAATATAGCTCTGTCCCATATGGATCTCATAGCCAGCTGATGATGTGATGTCTGGCTGCATGTGTGAGAAATGGAAGAGAGAACTTTTATTTTATTTCAGACTAAAACAATTGCAGCCGCCGAGCCACTGCCAGCCAAAGCCATAAGCCGTGCACGAATCTTCCAGCAGCTAATCCCCGAGATGAGAGCTCTGAGTTCAAGTGTCAGGCTCAGAAGTAAACTTACTCTACAATACAAGTCAGTGTTTTTCATGCGAACATCTGGAAGGGATAGTCTTGTTATGGTGAGCCACATGCTTTCTGGGAAGCTACTGACCATGTCTCTTAGAACCCAGTGTTTGAATTGTGGGAAGTCTTTATTGGAGCTGGGTCACTTTCAACCACTTGAGACGCTGATAATCGTAATCATCATTTTATTGTTTTTACCCCGCCCATTTGGCTGGGTTGCCCAAGCCACTCTGTGCTGGAACTGAGTAAGAAAGGAGTCAGAAGACAGGGCAGTGAGTTTACCAGCACCAAACTAAGAGCTGTTGTGTGTTTTTTGCTGAAGAGTATTTTTTATTTTACAAAAAAAGGCAACAACTACAAATAAATAAATAAATCCCAGCAGAGTTGAATAAAACAGGTGGGAGGGGTGATTTTTGGCCACATGTATGAATTTTGCTGAGTTTCATTAATGAATCATAGAGGAAGTCATTAATTGATGGAGTGGAAGTGCTTATTCCATGTTCCTGCTCCTTTTTGCTGCCTTTGCACCTTCACGTAGTTCCCTCTTCAGGGTGAACCTGCTTTCGGCCTCCATGGAGGTGGAGCTGTGGGAATCTCACTCAAAGAGCTGCCCTGCCACCTACCGGCTAGCAAGGACTTTTTAATTAGTGACTTCCTCTTGGGACCCTGTAGAATTAACTGTTTCCTGCCTTTCACTCCATGATTTATTATGGTTCCCCTCTCTGAATTCATCTGTGTGTGAAATCTGCAGTGCTTCATGCCAAGGAATACTGCAGCGTGCCAGAAAATCCTCTTTTATCACCAGCTTCTTGTTATTTCTTTGGTGCATATTTCTTCCTGGAGCATTTGATAGATGTTTCTGTGAAGGGAGACTTTCCACCGAGATTTGATATGGTGCAAGATGGATGTGCGCTCAGACCAGGTGGGCAGAATCCAAAAAGGAGGCTGTCCTTTTTCCTTTTGAAAATGGTGTGGTAGAAGAAAGTGGATAAGGGGAAGGAGATGGAGATGGAAAACCCATGGCCCTCCAAAAAAAAAGGCTATAGCTCAGTGGCACAACATCTAATTCGACCACAGAAGGTCTCCAGTTCAGTCTCTGGCATCTCCTGGTAGGATTGGGAGAGAGCCCTACCTGAATCCTTGGAGAGCTACTGCCAGTGTGGACAATACTGAGCTAGATGGACCAGTGGTCTGACTCAACAGAAGGCAGCTTTCTATATTCCTATGTCATTGCTATTGTGATGCCTGAGCCAAACAGAGCATTCACCCATCCCTAAACTACGACAACTGTCAATGCATGGGATTCTGTGAGTGGCGCTGGTGCTTCATTTACAACCTTTTTGTATCGCTGCATCAGATAGGTTGCTGCTTTGGAATGGATACAGAATCCCTGGCATTGCTGGTGACTTCAAATTGGTTGGTTGGGTTCATTGTTCCGAGTTAATGTTTGTTTGTTTGCCTGCTGAGTGTTGGAGGACTCACATGCCCTTCCATTCATTTCCCAACCATCTGCATTTGCTTTAGGAAAGGTCATCTTCACCCATTTACACGATGAGAGAGGGCAGCCCTCCCTGCCCTCAGGGTGTACATGACTTTCGCTGGCTTCCCTGGGAAGCTGCTGGGCCATTCTTCCTAAGCATCTGAGTCACAGCACAAACTGGAAAACCGCCAGTCCATTACAATAATAATAAAACAACAACAACAACTCGGGGAGGAAGGAATCAATGACAGTGACAGTTTCTGGGAGGCGGAGTAAGGGGTTAAGAAAGTAATTAAGTTATGAGCATGCATCAACAGCCTTGTCTGGTGAATGCTGGCAATGCACACACAAAAGCAGAACCTCCACTTGGAAAGCCTTGTAATTCATTAAGGGACAAGGCTGCTCATCCGACAATAAAACCAGCACCAAGACAGGTGAAGCTCCTATTATGAGCACATTATCTCCAGTCTTTGTCTCTCTGTGTCCCTTTTACTGAGCATGTGGATAAACCCTAAATGTCTGGCCTGCATGTGGGGAAACACAGTTTTGCATACATAAGAGAAACAAAACTCAAGAGGCCTTTCTGGGATACCATTCAGGGAAGCAGTGGCAGGATCTGGACAATAGTTTATAGCTGTACAGAATTCGCTAAGAGCAACCTTGACTGACAGCGAAGTTCAATACCAATAAATCAGATTATTGAAATGGAGGGGCTCAGAGGAGATGGGATTGTGCTTTCAATGGACCCTGCATTGAGCCAGACTGCAGAAAATGCCAGGGTGCTGTTTGCATACACAGCTCCCAGGCTAGCTTGATACAGGAATTCCTATGCAGAAATGGTCACGATGCTTCATTTTGTTGGTGGGTTTTATTTATATCTCACCATAAAGGGTAAAACAGGTCACAGTCCACTGGGAAGGCCTCTAGTGCAAGCCTCATTGAGATGAAAGGGTTGAGATCATAGTAGCTATTTTGCAACACTCATAATATATTTAGTGGGGCTTGTACAAAAGAATATTTTCCTATGAACTATGCATTTAGTCAATTTCAAGTTTAAGGAAACTAATCACAGACACACAAAAACCCATTGGGTCTAAAAGATAACAGAAAGAGAGAATACCCATCAGGTTTATGGCTGGTCCAGAACAGCCAATCTGCATTGAATTCAGCTATCCAAACCATCAGTTGGTGCCAATACCTAACCCGTCAGACATCTGGGGTAGTATATTGTTACAAACTTTCACAAGGAAAGCACATGTATGTATTGGATTTACATGTGCCCACAGACTTGTGAATAGTTCAGGCTATGACCAGAATTTTGAACAGGATGAACCAAGACATGGCAAACTATGGTCCTGGCATGCAAGGAATCATTCACGTACAGGACGCAATCAAAAATCTGCAAAAAAGGTGAGTTTGTGAGAACTTAAATACAGGAAGAATTGTCATTTTGAACTGGCAAACAGCTGTCCATAAGACAAATGCCAAATTTCCCCTTAGTTCTTCTAGCCTTGATTCCCCCCAGTTCTGAAGTCCCAAGGCAGCCATTTTACTGGACTGAGGAGAAAGTAGCATTTATTCCTTTTCCCATCTTGCATGAGACAAAGCGGCCAGATAGGTAATCTACAACAGCAGCAAACAGATGGGAAAATGTGAGAGAAACAACTCAAAACCCAGAAGTGAAGCTGGAAGGGGGGAAGAGCTGGGCCTCCATCATTTGCACCCCAGATCCTAACATCAACATCATGGTAAACAACAGAATTAGGAGCTCTTATGCCAATTGAAGATCTGCCCTCACAATGCACTCACTCAGAAACAACCCCTGTTCCAGCAGCTAACTTGTCTCCTTTCCCTAGCCAAGAAATTCCAGTTCAGTTCAGCAAGCAGTTTAACAAAGGGGAGAGATTACATCTCGTAATAAACATATCCAAGCGCTTGGCACCTGGGCATCTTTTGTCCTGCCAAGCCGGTTAGCTCCAACACCCATGTCAGCAGCGCAAGGAGGCTGCTTCCACATGCATTCCAAGGAAGTCTTCCAAGAAGGTGACAAAGGAGACAGAGTTCCCCTCTTCAGGTAGCGCATAAAAAGAAGCAGGAAAAGAAGCCAGTTGCTGAGAATCACAAGTGGGGAAAATGCTCTTGTACTCAGGTCCTCTTTGCTGGCTTCCTATAGGCATCTGATTGGCCACTGCAAGAACAAGATCCTGGATTAGAAGGCCTATTGGCCTGGTCCAGCTGGGCTTTTCTTGTTTTCTTGAAGCCATTTTCCAGACAGCAACCAAAAAAGATGCCTTCCATAATTTGAAATAGAGAGCGTGTATATGATGAGATTCCAATGTGGAGTCATTGACTGTAGTCAACAATGAGCATAGAATTCAGCTTCCCAAGAATCTCAATGTTCATTTTAAAAATTTATACCGTAGACCTTATGGTTGGGAAAATATGCTTGAAGTGTGGTAGTTAAACCTCAGAAGTCAGAGAGCGAGCTGAGTATGATTTGCACTGAATGTGAGTTTCTGCATTTCTCAACCAAAGTTGTATAACCTTTAGAGGTAGAATTCAGTTTTTTTAAAGCATTAGACAAGCTCACAGCTAGGGATTTAAGAAAGCATCATTTTCTCTTCCACCCTGCATTCATTGCATGCAGCACAGTTTCCTAATTATACTGCAGTTCATTGCCTACTAAAACCTACGTTATTTGTCTCATTGTCCACTTTGGAAAAAGTATATGACTTAATTAATTCCATAAATTACATTGTCATTACATTATTCCATCCTCATTAATTTCAGTGCAAACGATATGAAATGCAATTTATATTATTTATAATAATATAAATAAATAATATTTTTTTTTTATACCCTGCCCTCCCCGGTCAGGGCCAGGCTCAGGGCGGCTAACATCAAATATGAATTACAATAAAACATAATGGGGGGGGGATCAGTGATGTGAGCAGGAAGGTGTATAATAGAGGACTTCCTGTCTTGGTGGTGTTATGCTTCAGAAACGAGAGCTACCTGAGTTCTGCTTTGACTTGTGTTTCTGGTCTTGCTCTTCTTCAGTCTTGCCTTCTGTCTTGTTCTCTGGCCCTGCCTTCTGACTCTCAGTTTCTGACTCCTCACTTGCTCCAGACTGCTGACCATGGTCCAGTCCTGACAGGATGTGACTTGGTTTACAGCTCACCTTAAGGTAAAGCCGTGTAGAATTTCTCTGAATCACTACACACATTTTTAGACAGAAAATCTTTGTCACCACAGCTGAGAGCAGGCCCGGCTCTATTATTGGGCAGAATGAGGCAGCTGCTGGGGCCATTCTCCTCTGCTGGAGGATGGAGCTGTGTGTGTCGTGCAAGCTGCCCTGCACCCCCTGAACTAACATGTTCCAGTGCACAATCTTTTCCTTCACCTCAAGCAGTGAGTGCCTTGGGCCGGCCCTGACTAAGACTAAATCAATTCCTTCAAGTAGATGCAGTATCAGGGAAGCCGCCCAGAGTGAATATTTCTTGGAAGCCGCCCAGAGTGGCTGGGGAAGCCCAGCCAGTCAGGGCGGGTACACCAGTAAATAAAATTGCGTGTCGT